AAGTTTTCCGACAAAACTCTTATCTTCTCAAAGATGTCTTCCAAATTCGGGTTGGCGGGTGGGATACCGGAGCGCCGTGTTCGACCCATCTGGGATGCAATCGACTCTCGTCAGTTCAAAAATGCTCTGAAGCTCGTCACTTCGCTTCTCTCTAAGTACCCTAAATCACCTTATGCTTTAGTAAGTGGAACCAATCATTGGTCTTTTCTTTTTCGTTTTCTTCTTTCTCTAATCTGTAAACGGAAACGTAATTTGATTAGAATGCTGTTGCATTAACAACAGACGCTTAAAGCTCTGATTCATGAGAGAATGGGGAAAACGGACGAGGCACTCTCTGTTTGCTTGGATGCTAAAGAGCTCTTGTACAAAGATGATTTAGCGTTGATGGATGATCTCACTCTCAGTACCTTGCAAATCGTTTTGCAGAGACTTGATCACTGTAAGTGCACTCGTATGAAGAACTTGAAACCTTGTCAATAACTTTTGGTTATATCTGAATCGTTTGTTTCAAATTTTGATCAGTGGACTTGGCTACTAGTTGCTATGCTCATGCCTGTGGCAAATTCCCTAATAATTTGGAGCTTATGATGGGGCTCTTCAATTGCTATGTTCGTGAATATTCTTTTGTGAAGCAGCAACAGGTTGGTCGTTGTGTTGGATGAACACTTTACTGGGTTCTGGTATCAGTCTTTTATTACCCTGTTCTTATATTTTGCTTTCTGACAGACAGCCATCAAAATGTACAAACTTGCCGGAGAAGAAAGGTTCTTACTTTGGGCAGTTTGTAGCATCCAGTTACAAGTACTGCCACCATCATCTCCTCTCCTTTTTTTTTAAGCAGTTTGGTATATCTGTTTCTCACGGTTGGGATGATTTTGACAGGTGCTATGCGATAAGAGTGGGGAGAAGCTGTTGCTTCTGGCTGAGAGTTTACTTAAGAAGCACATTGCCTCTCACAGTATGCATGAGCCAGAAGGTAAGCTTAATTTTCGACCAATTTCTACTCTTGTGCAAGTTGTGGAACTGTTCAGATTTCTTCAGCCTTTCTTCTACTAATGCAAGTATGGTATTTTCAGCTCTCATGGTGTATATCTCTTTGCTGGAACAACAATCCAAATACAATGATGCTTTAGAAGTCCTCACTGGAGATTTGGGATCTCTTTTGATGATTGAAGTCGATAAACTACGGATACAGGTAGGTTATGAGGCTTTTTGGCCGGAAAGACTACTAAACTTCATGCCTTTGTATTATCTTCCGTAGACCACATAGATTGTACATTTTCCCTAGTTTTTGGTTGAACGTGTCCGATGTACGTATATATTCGGAGTCTGTTTCTGTAGGCTCACACAAACGATCTCACTTTAAGCTGACAGGGGAGACTCCTTGCTAGGGCAAATGATTATTCTGCTGCTGTTGATGTCTGTAAAAAAATCTTAGAATTGAGGTATGTTTTCAAGGCATGAGCATCTAAAATCTCGTGTTTTCTAAGAGAGGGGAATGTTTCTATTACGATTTCCAGTTGGTTACTTGATTGTTTCTATTTCTCAGGCCTGTGTGCTAACATTGAATTTCTGTTCACTTGGCAGTCCAGATGATTGGGAGTGTTTCCTACACTATCTCGGCTGTCTGCTTGAAGATGACAGCATCTGGAAACACTTTGACAATGTTGATCAAATTCATCCAACAAAGCACATAGAATGCAAATTTTCTCACCTTACGGAAGAAATGGTGATCATATTATCCACTTCAGTTTGTGTTTTTGTTTACCTTTTTCTCAATTTCTTGTTATATATAATCTATTTTCATTTCCACCATGCAGTTTGATTCTCGTATATCAAGTGCTTCAGATTTGGTACTGAAACTACAGAAGGACACTGAGAATAGTAATTTAAGGGGTCCATACTTGGCCGAACTTGAAATTGAGAAGAGAAAGCTCTTATTTGGGAAGAAGAACGAACACAAGTTACTAGAGTCGTTACTGCAATATTTTCTCAAGTATGTCGCTGTATGAAACCCTTAGGAGTTGATCTTGTTGTTTAGGTATAAAGCATACTGATTCTTATATCCCTCTGAGCATGTATTGCTTTGCATGCAGATTTGGTCATTTAGCTTGCTGTGCCTCCGACATTGAAGCATACCTACATGTATTATCCCCAGATAAAAAGGCAGAATTTGTGGGAAAGTTAGTGAAAAATTCCGACTCCTTTTCAGCATCACCAACCAAAGTGCTTGGTCAAACAACAACAGTTCTCAAAGTCCAAGAGCTGACAGGAAACATTTTTGAGCTCCATGTTGATGGTGTGTTCTCTTAGCTTACGTACCTTTTCTGCAATTTCCTTGTTATCTGCCTATAAGTTTAAATTCCGAATCTACAAACCATCTTTCTCTTTTGTGATAGCCTTTTTGAATGTGATCACCTGAATCTGTTTCCAATTCAATTTTTCCTTCCAATATTTAGAAATTGAAGCCTCTGCTGTCAAACTGGCAAAGTTATACTGCCAAAATCTTTCTCTTTCTAAGGACTTGGACCCTCAGGAGAGCATGTTTGGGGAAGAACTTTTATCTTTGATTAGCAATATGTTGGTCCAGGTACTTTGATTGTGTTCAACAGACGAGTTTCCCTTGTACTGAATAATAGATTGTTATATATTAATGAACCTTACCATTGGTTCCAGCTATACTGGAGAACTCGAGATTTTGGCTATCTTGCTGAAGCTATCATGGTTCTTGAGCTGGGCTTGACCATCAGAGGGTCAGTACACCATATTTTTGTCAGCTGCTTCTGTTTTAGATGCCAAAGGATTCAACATGGTTTTGACAGGTCTTCACTTGATTATTAATTTTTGTTCCACAGACATGTCTGGCAGTACAAGATCTTGCTGTTACACATATATTCTTATGTTGGGGCTCTTCCGCTTGCATTTGAATGGTATTTTTAGCTCCCAGCTTTATTTGTTTTTGCCTAAAAACAGAAAACGTTTATTCAGCTCGTTTTACTGAACCACCTGTTATCATCTGTTAGGTATAAAGCTCTTGATGTGAAGAACATATTGACGGAAACAGTTTCACACCATATTCTACGTCAAATGTTGGAATCTCCCATGTGGGTGGACTTAAGTAGCCTCCTAAAAGACTATCTCAAGTTTATGGATGATCATTTGAGAGAATCTGCAGACCTTACATTTCTTGCTTACCGCCATAGAAATTACTCAAAAGTAAACAACAATTTAAATTCTCTAACAAAATTGTTACCATATTCCTGTGGGCAACCGGTTACTGTTGTGACTTATCTAGATTTCCTAATCTCAGGTTATCGAATTTGTCCTATTCAAACAACGATTGCAGCACTCAAACCAGTACCAAGCTGCAAGGGTTGAAGCGTCTGTCTTGCAATTGAAGCAGAACGCAGACAGCATCGAGGAAGAAGAGGTAGTTCATTCAAGTTCTTCTCATGCAAATTACCATATGTCCAATTACTTGATCCGCTCATATATCTAACGTTGCATGTGTTTTTGTTGTCTAGCGCATTCTTGAAAACCTGAAATCTGGAGTTCAACTTGTGGAGCTCTCAAATGAAACTGGATCCAGGAAACTGACGTTCAATGAAGATATGCAAACACGTCCATGGTGGACACCTTGTCCTGAGAAAAACTATCTGCTAGGTCAGTATATCCTTTACATTAGTTGTCGTCTATGATTGTGGTGTTATTCTTAATATCAATCATCATGTGTAGGTCCATTTGAAGAGATTTCTTACTGTCCCATAGAGAGTGTGGTACGTATGTCTATATCTATACATCTTTTCTTTGGGAGGGATGCAATCTAATACTGATTGTACTTGTTGGCTGTGAATAGAAAAAAGATCGTGAAGAAAATATGAAACGAGCCATCCAGAGAAAATCCCTTTTACCTCGCATGATATATCTCTCTATTCAGTGCACGCCAATGGCATTAAAGGAGAGTGTTGAAACCAATGGGTCTGGAGGTGACATCAAAATCTGTGGAGAACTTAAGTGTTTGCTGGAGGAATACACAAAAATGTTGGGATGTTCTCTCAGTGACGCTGTAGAAATGATCACAGAGATCTCACAGGGTGCAAGGACTTCCGAGGTTAGCTAATCTACTTCTTTCTCCTTCCACCTGCACTAATGTTATCTGGTCTTACTGTTAGTAACCTTTTTGGAACATCTCTGTAGAGCCTCGGTTCAAATGTGGTGGACTGGATGAATTTTGCAGTGTTTTGGAATGGTTTGAGCCTAAGTTCCCACGAGCATTGGCATGTGTTGAACTCCCTATTCGAGAGGCTCATTCTGGACAGAGTTAGATCGATGGGATCTTCGGACATGAGTTCTTACTATTCTGATGTCCAGGTCTTGGTTCAGATTATCACTGAACCGTTGGCATGGCACAGTCTTATAATTCAGGCCTGCACTCGCTCGTCTCTCCCATCTGGGAAAAAGAAGAAGAAAATTCAACATTCAGATCAATTATCTTCCTCCCCTTTGTCACAAGCAATCAAAGATTCTATATTGTCGTTATGCAGCATAATACAAGAGGTTTCTAACTGGCTACTGACTCAACTGAACAATCCAGAAGATGATCAAGTGGAGAAATTTCTGTCAACTCTGAAGAGAGCTGAAGACGGAACAGGAGGACCGGGACAGATTCTGGGGGTTCTAGAGAGTTCCATCGCATCCAGTGAAGAATCAGAGGTTGGAAATCGCATCTTTGATGCACTGAAATCGTGGAACACGGCAGATACCGCACGTAAAACAGTCATGGCGCAACAGAGAGTCCTCCGTGAGTTTCTCCAGATCTGTGACTCTAAGAGAAAGCTGCTGGAAACACTCAAGCAACATATGTCCCATGTTTGATCCGTAATCTTAAATAACACTTAAGAGGAAGATCACTGCTTTTCCTGGCTATTTCATTTTGGGAATACATTCATGACAGGATCAAAGAGATTGATTGATGTTTAAATACATTTTGAAAAAAGAAATGAAACATGATTAGCTAGCTAATTAAGCTGCTTCTGTATTGGAATTTTATTAACCATCCCAATAATACAGATTCTACAACTCGGTATAATCAAAATAAAGAACTCTAATCAATTAAGAAATGTTTCTAATTAAATCAGTTATGAGAGTGAGACCAGGGAGATACTAAATGCTTGTAATCAAACTTGCCGTTCAAGAAACCATCACCACCCTTCTGGTTCCTTACTTGTTGTTGCACTACCAAGACCGAACCCTCCGAGGCGAAAACGCTCCCAGCCACGGTGTCTCCGATGACTCCAAGCTGGTGGTCCTCGCTCCACGTAGAGAGTCCTTCGAGAATCTTTGGGTTGATCCCTTCTCTCCTCCCCGTTATCCACAGATCGTAGTCATTCACGTTCATTGCTTGAATCGCAGCCAATGTCTCAGCACCGTTCTTGACGACAACCTCCTTGTAACTAACCCTATCGTTGCTTTCGTTCTTGACCCAAAACCACGTGACCACCCCATCGTCCAGCTTCTTCTCCCTCTCGTCCTCTCCTTCGTGGTTGTACGCCAAGAACCTAACCACCGTCAAGGTAATGTTAGGGTTCTCCTTCATCCTATCTGCTAGATGCAGAGCTTCTCTGTTATCAGCTCCTCCTAAAAACAGAATTACGAAACGATACATTTCTTGCCTCCTATGGCTTGAGTGTGTTGTGTGTTGTATGTCCATGGATGACCGAGCCATCGCGTTTTTCAGTCGTCCCTTCTCGTAATAGATACAGACAGAGCATGGTGTATGTGCCAAGACGTCTGCGTTTACCGAAAGCATGCCAGAGTCACGTAGCTCGGTAAGGGATGCGTCTTCAAGCCGCTCTTTCTGATAAGGTAAGAGAATAAAAGCGGTTTTCTTGTTCAAGGCAAGCTCGCAAATATCTTGGTACATGTGACGCTTTGGAGCATGGGCGGTGTAGGCACGCAGCGTCACACACTCGCCTCTTTTCTCTTGGTACAGCTTAAAGGCGCTCTGCAGCTGGTCTATTCGCTTGCTCCGTGAACGCTCATGCTCTTCTTCTTCCATCTCGTATTTTTCCTCCTCCTTCCTTCGCTTCTCGTGTTCAATAAACAACGGTTGGGCACGCCCCGCCAGTTCCATCAGCTGGATTGCGAATATAGACAAGGGACTATTTTTAGTGGGATAGGCGAAGTCGAGAAAAGTGACCAAGCCAGAGAAGGTTTCGTGGTCAGAGACTGCAAGTACCAGTCCCATCTCGGTACACTGAGGAGTGTGCTGGATTGTGCGGTGTTTGCTGCTTCTGTAAGGGCGAGAGGGATCGTAGAGGAAGCTAATGAGTGGCGCTGTTACACCCGTGACCACAACCGCATACAAAACCATGACAGTATAACCCGGTAAGCCTACCATACGTTTGTCTATCCAATGCAAGTAGAGCAAAATATCGATCTGACCTCTCAAGTTCATCATCAAGCCGAGCGTGAGACTGTCCCTGGTGGGGACTTTAAAGAAGAGAGCAGCGCCAGTGGAGGAGATAAACTTTGTGACGAATCCGACGATGCTCATGTAAACGAGAGGAGAGACTTGTTTGGGCCAAGTCTCTTCGCTAAGTAAGTTAACATTGGTTTTTTGTCCCACCAAAGCAAAGGAGAAAGGCATTAAAAATTCATTAACGAAGGTCTCGCTCCGAATAGCCAACGTGGAAGTCAACGGCGGGCCATGAGGGACCACCAACCCTAGCCAAATAGGTCCTACGGCTATAGCCATACCGAACATGTCGGTGAGAAAACCAGAGACAAGGACACCCATGAGAATTATGACGATGTAGTTTTGGTTCACGAGTTTTCTTTCGGGCGTTTTGGCGACAATCCAATCAAAGCTTTGTCTCACAACCAAAAGCAAAAAGGCGGCCAAGATGGACACAGATATGAGAAACCAAATAACGGAATATACTCCACCTCCTCCGTCAGCTTGCGTCATGGCTTCAAACAAAACAAGCACGTAAAGCCCTACCATGTCTCCAAGGAGAGTCACGGACATGGCGAACTTGCCCACCTCGGAGTTGAGAAGGTTCATGTCTCTCAAAACAGTGTAAATGACCGGAAAAGAAGTGAAGCCCAAGGCGAAAGTGACCCCTCCAATGGACGAAGACTTTTGCAGCTTCTCATCCATTGTGTCTTTTAGGGCAGCCCCCGTGCCCCCAACGCATGCAATAGGCACCAAAACACTGATGGCAGCAATGTACTTGTGCTTTCTTGGTGCTTTAAAGATTTCTGCAACGTCAGTCTTGGCCGCAGTGAGGAAGAGGAAGTAAAAGAATCCCATCAGTCCCAAGTTTGCGCATATGTAATTTCCAACCGGTGGGAAGAGATAGTAATTGAAGTTTCGGCTTCGTCCAAACATGGACGGTCCTATCATAATCCCACCCTTCAAATACACAAAACCATTTTGTCAATATTCATTAGCACCACACTAGTAGATAATATTACGTATATTAACTATACAAAAAAAAAAAAAAGATCATATATATAAAGATGGAAGACTAACAATGATTTCGCAGACTATACGAGGTTGGCGAAGAGGTCGAAGGAGGAAGGAAACGACTTTGATGAAGAAAATGATGAGTACTGCTTCGATTAAAAAGGTCGAAAATGTGTAGTTCATCCCATCTTCGCCTCTGAACATTCCGAAAGGCTTCTTATCGTGAAGCTGACGGCAAACCACTGGAAGTCTGGCGGAGAAGAAAGGAGTGCTGACCACTCCTGGAGTGGTTGGATCCCCCGGCCAGAACCCAAAGCGGGTAGGCAGGGCACTCGTGTCATCACTTGGGAAGTACCTAACCATGCCCACTAATTCTCTCAGATCACGATTTTGAGGTCAAAAAGCAAACGGTATAATGATCATGGATGGATGCAAGAGAGAGAGAGAGAGAAAACACTAGCTAGACTAGATCCATGATTCATGTTTCTTTTTCAGTAGAAGTGGACGCGCGTCATTTTGGGAACTATTCTAGCTTTTCATTTCTTTTTCCTTGTTTTCCCATTAGTTATGAGTTTCATCACATGATAATACGTACCGTTTATATGTTTTTTTTGGATGGTATATTTATATGTACGTCATGAAACAATCAGAAAGATAATTATACTTTGTTGATTTCAATGATATTTGTATTTCTCTTTCCCTAAGATTTCCATCAAGTATTGCTAGTAGAGAAAGATGAGAAACTAAAATAGACGTGTAGGTATAATGTGAGGTTTCATTTTTGCAGTGTAAAGAATCAATGGTGAGGTTCAAATACATCCCAAAAGTTAATAGTCTCACTGCATTATAATGAGATGAGTATTTAATTGATAAAACACAAAATATTAAAAAAATAAAAATAAAAACTTCGATGGATGAATTCAGAAGCAATGACATAAAAGGACCGGGACGTGCAAGGTACGGCCGTGGTAGCTGGCTAACCCAAACTCCCATGCATCTATTTCCTCAATCTTTATCTCTCTCTATAAAAGGTTTATGTTTCTTGAATATTAGTAGTTTTAAAGATTCTTACATATTAAATGTCTTTTTAATCATTCCTGTTTTCATATTAATCATGAAACAAAAGCAAAATGTTGAATTAATATTCATTAATTTAACAAAAGCAAAAGAAAGAAGTATCACAATTTTGAATGAAATGGATAAAATTTGATGAGACTTTTGTTGTTGTTGTGGACATATACCTATTTCTTGTAAGTTGCAATATCGACATTAAGCAATAGTGGGTGATAAATTCTGAAAATAAAAGAGAATTGGAGATCCCACCTACGCTCAATTGAATGCATCACCGCTTTTTGCGTTCTTCCACATTTATATATACTCAGTTATAATTTATTTATTTTTTATCCTTTCATATTTTCTTACATTTTCATGTACTCCCAATGTCTTGTCTTGACCGGGTAGACTTGTAGGCCGTGCTCTCGGTTTGCGTCATCGACAAAACAAAACTAGGTGAGTGTCGTTCCGAAAACTCTATATTTAGACGTGATTCATTGAAAAATAGTCATACAACTGTATTTTGGTCCACTACAGTTATGAAACGTATATGTAACTTTTAGCTAAACCCAAAATTCACAAGTCTTAAAATACTAGTATAATTTAGGTATAACGCCTCTCCACCAATTTCCCCTGTTAATGTACTAACTATACATTTATTGTGGGTATGGGAATGCATTAAAAGTGCCGAATATATAAAATTGGTACATCGAGATATGTAACTTGGGGACACTTGAGAGTTGAGACTGACTATATAGATACAGCAATGTGATCCAAGGTCAAGCTCCTCTCTTTAAGTACTTAACCATTACAACATATAGTAAACACACATATGAAGTAGCAGATGCATATATACATGTTAATTTCAGATGGAGTAGTAGAGAAGTAGCTGTAAAGCTCAGGAGGGATAGCGCCATGGCTCACCAATACTTGTATGTTTTGTACACGCATATCTGTTGGCGCTATCCATCCTAAGTTCCATGGCTTATTCTTGCTTATATGTGTATCTTACATCATCCCAGTTTCGTTGAAGCAGCTTGTATACAAGAGATGGTACCGGGTAAGTTTATCATTTGTATATACTTTCTGAAGGTTTTATTTATATAAGAGAGGACAGGCACACATCAGATTTTCGTTCACCATATTTTTCAGATGTTAACTTGTAAGAAATAATAAATAACAAGCTGAAATCCAAATCGATATGGAACTGTTGTTGCAAAGAAATTGAGAAAAAAATACAGGGTATTGTCAATTCGATCTTTAAGAAGAAGTGAATAGTTAAAAAGTATGGTCTTACAAATTACTTGGATTTTACACATCTAGACACTTAGGCCATGAATGGTGAACACTTAGTTAAGAGTTACAGTCTTAATTACAGGTGAAAAAGTCCCTTGTAAAATACGTACTGATTCTTTTGTATATTATCCTATTTGTGTACCTTATATTTGTGTGTGTTAAAGAGATGATAACAGTGAATCTTCAAAGGGTTCCAAATTTCCTGGATTCTGTTTCTCGACTATCCTCATATTTTACATAACCTTCCCATTCATTCACACCTCTTTGGAAGTTTTCATTTTCGGCATCAATCTTTTTGGTTCATTTTCTTAGATATTTGCATTGAGAATCAAACTGAAAGAACATGTATGTACCCCGAAAATCTTTTGTCGAAAACAAGGCTAGTCTCAAGGAATAAGGATTAGCCAATCCGGCATCTACTCAAAAATCCATAGTATACCTCTACAACTAATCAGCATTGAAGATACATCTTTAATCCGAATAATGATTAAGAGCATAAACAAAAAGCTTTCTCGAGTGAATGGTTACAAATTCAAAGTTAAACTTACGAGAATCACACTTCAAAAACACTTGAAGAGAACTCTTATATAAACTACGGTCATATCCCCCCCGGGTCTACTAGATTCCAATTCAGACATCAACTGCAAGATTCTAATGAGCTCTTCTCTTTAGTCTTTGGGATACAGATTGAGGGAATGATGGAGCTTTATCAACTTGTCTTTTTTTGTCGAAAACAAGGCCACTCATTTGTAAAATATAGTCTCAGGGAGTCAGTTAGCACTAAAAATCATCAAGTTGATCTTTTTGAATTGTCACTGCATACTTTATATCAAACAAAAGTGCCTAGCAATCCCCCACTCCTGCCATTTCTCGTGGAACAAATGTTGCTATAAAAAGAAGTTTGAGAGGATAAAGATAAATAACTCAGAGAATTGTAAAGGGAAGTGTGTTTGCCTAAACGAATGCATACACAATACAATAGCGTTGAACAGAGTCAAAAACAGAAAAAAGAAGGAAGAGAAGCAAGAAATGGACTTCTGGTGTAGAAAAAAGGAATCAAAATGAATGGCACTCACCTGAAATCATCATAGCACCAATTTGCAATGCATTTTGCACTTAATTATCAGCTTTTCCTTCAATAAAACAAAAACAAAAATTTCACATTGTGAAAAGACAAAATAAAGAAGGATAAACCGAACATGCATAGATAATAATATAGATCCCCAAAGAAACAGAACAAGTAGGGAGAAAAAAAGGGGTAATTTTGCTCAAGGTCAAAGTGAACAAAAACCTACCTTTTTTTTTTTTGTATCTCCAATATGATGATTCATAGAACATTTCCCCCCAACACCAACGCAACATTTTACTAAAATTCCCCCCTCAACACACACAAAACTCTTAGAACACATAACAGCTGATTCATTGGTTCCTCTTTCTCTCAATATGGACGAGACCGGTTTCCCCCATGGTGGTTTCTGTCTGGCCCTGAACCATAGTTATCTCTTCTTCTGTCTCCCCCACCACCACCATAGCCACCGCCACCTCCTCTACCACCGCCTCTGCGCCATTCACAAATTTTGCAAGGACCAAATTATTATATCAGACACAGAACATCTAACTAAAACCCGCTTTCTACTGCAAATGAAGTGACCAAACACAAAAAGGGTGGGTCTTATAATGCAAGGATATCCAGTTCAAAACTATGGGGAGTTACTAGAAGCTTATAAGAAGCATGAACAAAAAATTCCCACTTAAAAGTCATATCGACAGCTAAATGTAACAAGATATGTTGAACTGCATAGATTAAAGATAGACCTAAGGCGTAGTTTGATAACATAACAAACTCCCCACCCTTTCAGCCAGACCCAGATGAGTTTACAAATCAGATCCTCAGTAGGAAACAAGTCCCATACAGTCTTTAGAGACACAAGGAACACAAACCAGAATATCATATTCCCAACCAAAATCGTACAGCTAAAAGCCTAAAACAACTACATTACAGAAATCGATATGATGGAGTACTAGTGACAGCTAAAACTGGTAACAAAACGTAGATATAAAAGTGCAGATAAAAGATCAGGACAGCTACCTCTGGTCAAAGGTAGGAGCACGGGGCGCAGACTTCTCTGCCATTGTTACACTAATCTTGCTTCCCCTCATTTCGTAATCTACAAAAAATTCCAACACCATTCACCAAACAAAACTTTTAAACAATTTTAAAGCTAGACAGCAATTCCATAATACATACTGTTAAAAAAGCCGCCAGCAGAGTGTGCAGCACTAGGATCTTCATAAGCCAGACAGGCGTCACCTTTATGGTTACCCTTCTCATCAGTGTAAATCTTAATATTATAGGGCCACTGATCTTTATAACCCCGCTTCTGCTTAATTCTTCCAACCTATAATAGATCCAACATGAAAGTACACACCCAATCAGTACACCAATAAACATAGACACAAACAAGAACTCATGGCAAGGGGAAAGCTTCTTCCAAGATGATAAAACACAACAGAAGTAAAGACCAGGTTCATTACTTGGCCAATGCCACCAAAGAGATCCTTGAGTTCATCAGTAGTCACATTTGGAGGTAAATTAGAGATGTATATTCTAGCATTATCACAAGTATCATCACAATCCGCATCACATTGCTTGACTTGGGTGCGATTTTCGGCAGCAGCATCTTCATAACTAGATTCCTGTCTCCTAGGAGCACTACTACCATCATAGCCACCAGCCCTACCACCGCGACCACCAGGGCTTGGTGCATCACTACCATAACCCCCTCTTGGACCACCATATGAAGGGGGGCCCCCAGAATAGCTTGAAGGCGGGGGAACTGCTTCCATTCCATACCCCGAGGGTGGAGGATAAGTTCCGGAACCATCATAGGAAGGAATAGCTGCAGGAGGAGGAGGAGCCTGACCATACGAACCATTATCCCTCTGTTGACTACCAGTACCATAGCTACCGCCAACCCTACTTCCACCATCATATCTACTACTCTCATAGCTCCTACCACTATCATTTCTACCTCCACGAGCACCGCCACGATCACTGGCACCTCCACCTCGGCTATATCCACCACCTCCACGATCACCAGCACCAGCACCAGCACCAGAAGGAGCAGGTGCACCACACTTGTTACATTCAACTCTCCTTGCAAAGTTCACGTTCCCACAGCTATACAAACAGTTTCGAGGGTAAACTTCAAAACATATTTCCAGCCAAGAATTCACAGCTAATCCAATTTTATCACATAGGATTAGAGAATGCAATCATTACCTAGGGTTGGGACAACGCCAATCTCCATCCTTACCGCCACCATCTCTTCCTCCACCACCTCTGCCGCCTCCTCCGCTTCCTCTTCCACCGCGATCACCTCCTTGATATCCGCCACCTGAATTAAATCGAATCATCAACAGATTGTGAGAAAATAAAGATTAAACAAAAGTAACTAAGCAAGGAATGGAGAAATCTAAAGAAATCGTTAGGGTATATCAAATCAGATCTGGAACAATATAAATCACAAACCTCGATTTCCTCTACCGCCGCCGCCACCGTAACCACCGCGTCCGCCGTAACCCCCTCCGCCAGAGGAACTGCGTCCTCCATAACCAGAATCACCGCCTCCGTAACCTCCACCTCCGCCGTATCCATCACCACCGTACGACGGGATAGGCGCACCTCCGCCGCCGTCTTGATTGTACATCCCAGCCATGACCTAGGGTTTGCGATAGACAACAGAGCAAAACTCTTTAAAGACTTGGGTGCCTTTTAAGACGTTATTAAAATAAAATCTCGCGTCCTATTTATATTTCTCTCATAAATAGTGTGGACCAACATTATTCTTTCCTTTTTATTACATATATCTGTAATCTTAAATTCTTACATCTTATCTTTACCGACCGGCTTCCAGAAAATAACTGGACTTACTTTTTTAGTTTTTATCTTTTTATTATTGGAAGCGGCGTCGTTTCTTATAGGCCTATATACTTCACAACTTTAAAACGAAGGACCAGGCCCAATAAATGTGGCCATTTAGGAGAAATTAGAGGCAAGGATGAGGCAAATCCAAAATTTGTGCTTTAAAAGAGTCCAGACAGTAGGAATAACAACAAGAGGAGAGGCCAACGCTGACAGAAAATAGGATTTTGGGAAGATGAATGAGAAGTATCAAGTTGAATCGAGAACCTGCAATTATCCACGGAAGGATCAACTGTAGTGATCAGACCAAGTCCACCAAAGCTGCAGCTTTCTGCACTGTGATCATTTTGCTGATACAAGCTATTGAACGCGTATGAGACGTTGCCTGGCCATCCGATGCCTGCACACGTCCCGCCAGGAAGTATCGATGTGCAGTCTGCGACAGCACACGCTTCTAATAATCTTGCTGATGCGTTTGACAAGTCCTTGTTATTGTTCACCACACACCACTTGGGAGGAAGGTACTGAACGTTCTGCGCGTTAACCAGTTTCTTCGAATTATGGTTGAAACTGAAACCGTATTTGGCTTGACCATCGAATGTGAATACTCCCCAGTGTCTCTCAAAGTTCCCAGAAGATATGTTTCTCTGATCTTCGTCCAAGAGGCTTCCAATGTAGGTTTCAATTGGTGGACGCAGCAGAGAACCCGTCTTTTTCTCCAAGTGACCCATCAGTCCTTTCAAGAAGACCTCAGCAGTAGGTGATGTGGCATTGGCTGCTCCATCTGTAGGCCAACCAATCTTTGAGACGACGATATCCACATCTGAGAATCCAATTGAGGACAATGCAGACGCAAGTGTGTCGTAGCTCAGATCATAGCTGTTTCTGTAGGTTTTACGTCCATCTTTGTGAGCCTGTGCTGTTTCTTTGAAGAGGCTAAAGTCGAGGGAGATGTTCTTGTTCTGGTGAAAGCTTAGAAAAGGAGAGATTGTGACAAAGAAGGGAGAGTGATGCTTTGTGAGAAAGGAGAGGAGTTCGATCATTGTCTTGTTGAGGTCAGCCCTGAAGTGTCCTGAAGACGGTCTACCAGATTTAGAAAGAAAGGAGTCAAAGCTGGAAGGCACTACGACCTTCACTTCACTAGCCAAGCTTGCCTTAGCTAAAGCATTTTGGATGTTCATAGCTGCTCCAATGACAAAAGGCCTATACTGATTGCCATAGCTCTGGAGAAATGGCTCATCTCCAACTGCTACGTACCTGCAAACCAATCCAAGTGAGGAACCCTCCATAATTGTTGATCTTTAAACCATCCTTTATATATAAGTCCACTATAAAAAACAATTTTCTATGTGTGACTGAAAATATTTCAATTGAGTGTTTCTGAATGTGAGTTTTCTAAACATAAGACGGATAAGCCGTTCCTTGTTTGTGCAGCTGCTGTAAAACCTCTCAGCTAACAAAAAGGAGCATGAGCATGTACACTATCGTTGCAACGGACGCAAATGTATCAACTTTGACACACACACAAACACAGAAGATACGAAGCAACATAAGAAACTGGTCAATATAGGAAATTTCCAAATTGAGAACACGAAATCTAGAAAGATCTCAACTTGGAAACAAAAAAATCAAAAAACAAAATGGTAGCTGTAATTGGAAAAAGTGGAAGAGAAGGAGAAAGAAGATACTCGATTCGAACTCTGTTTCCACCATTGAAGTAACGAGTGACATTGTCATGGACCCAGCTCTCTGCAACCTTTCTGGATGCATTCAAGCTCTTAACCATGGAATTAGGGATTCCGACAGTGACACCAATATTAGAACCAGAGAGAGCTCGGAGAACTTTTGGGTCGGCATCGAAGAGCTTCACCTTGGCAATGCTGTTGGATTTCAGAAGCTCTACAACCTTCGAAGGCGGAAGAGGGTGCGACGCTTCCGTCCCCCAATTTACGCCGACGGCTCCCGCGGTGGCTACATTCAGGCTCAACTCCGCCGTGACGGCGAGGATGAGGAGAAACAGCCGACGAGCCATCAAAGCCAGTGAATCTCCTCCTTCCGCGATAATGACGGGCAGAGTAGTTCAATGTTAAAAAAAAAAAACCAAAAACTACGTGTCGTTTCAAAACATAGAACCTTGTTATTAATCTACTAAAATGGCATGATGTTTAAAAGTTGGGCTATACCTGGGCTTTACATTTACTAGTCCATCAAGCATCTTTTTGTAATTCCGTTGTGTCCACGTGTCGTTTTTCGATTCCCAGACAACCACAGTCATCGAGTGTGTCTGAAAAAAGAAATTGTCTGAACTGAGGGAAAGGTGGAGAACTCTAATCAATCATCAATGTCGACGGAACGAGAAGTAGTCTGTGTCACCGGCGCCAGTGGCTGCATCGGCTCGTGGCTGGTCCATCTGCTCCTCCACCGTGGCTACTCCGTCCACGCCACCGTGAAAAACATCCGTAATGTTTACAAATTCCTCTCTTCGATTTCACTCCGGTTACAATATCTCCTCCTAATGGCCTTACGTTAGTTAAATTTGTGTTACAGAGGATGAGAAAGAGACGAAACATCTAGAAGCTCTCGAAGGTGCAGCCACACGCCTCCATCTATTCGAGATGGATCTCCTGCAATACGACACCGTTTCCGCCGCCATCAACGGATGCTCCGGCGTATTCCACCTCGCATCGCCCTGTATCGTCGACGAAGTTCAAGATCCACAGGTTCTAATATCCACTCCCAAAACCTTAGCTTCAAAAAGTACCGATCGATTGTAAATTCGATCACTTCATGTGTGTGAACAGAAGCAACTACTTGACCCGGCGGTTAAAGGAACCATAAACGTACTGACGGCGGCGAAAGAAGCGGGTGTAAAGAGGGTTGTTGTGACATCTTCTATATCGGCGATAACTCCGAGTCCCAACTGGCCTGCCGATAAGATCAAGAATGAGGAATGTTGGGCTGACCAAGACTACTGCAAACAAAATGGAGTATGTACTTTTAACATCTATTGCAAACTAATCTTCTTGATATAATATTTATAGATGATGTTGTGGTTCTTGTGCTGTTGGGTAGTTATGGTATCCACTGTCGAAGACTCTTGCTGAGAAGGCTGCTTGGGAGTTTTCAGAGCAGAAAGGATTGGACGTGGTTGTGGTGAATCCAGGCACTGTCATGGGACCTGTCATTCCCCCATCCATCAACGCTAGCATGCTCATGCTTCAACGCCTTCTTCAGGGTATTTTTTACTTCTCTGTGAACAATTAGTCTTGAGTTCTATTGAGACATCTTAGGATTTGAGTCGACATGAATGCTTAGGATGCACGGAGACATACGAGAACTTCTTCATGGGGTCGGTGCATTTCAAGGACGTGGCCTTAGCCCATATTCTTGTCTACGAGAATCCATCTGCGAAAGGGAGGCACTTGTGCGTCGAGGCCATATCTCACTATGGTGATTTTGTAGCCAAAGTCGCTGAGCTCTATCCCAATTACAGTGTCCCCAAGTAAGTCACAAACTATGTGCATTAGTAATTCTCTTAGGTTACCGAGAGAGACTATCACTTGGCTGCTATATGTCTGTGTGTATATGGATTTCAATAAGCTGCATTGGTAAATCTCTTAGGTTACCGAGAGAGACTCAACCTGGTTTACTCCGAGCCAAGAATGCAGCCAAGAAGCTGATGGAATTGGGGTTAGAGTTCCGTTCCATGGAGGAGATCATCAAGGAAGGTGTGGAGAGTCTTAAAAGCAAAGGATTTATCTCTTAAATTATCTGCTTGATTTAGCAATGAACAAGATCTCGAGGCAAGCAGAATCATTTTATGCGATTTGCACTATTGTAACAAATAAGCTTTGCCTAAGTTATGGACATCCAATTAATTTGGATTGACGTCCTATTTCTCCCCAAAAACTATGGCATCGTACCAAATCTACGCAGAACTTCAACCTCATTCCATGTCTCACCGAGTCGATAGTTCTAAACTCATCTCCACCCGAATCCGATAGTTCTCATCCATTTTTCCAATTTTTTGGTTTAACCGGTTTACAAACCAAACCCGATAGAACCGACGTAAACCAGATATGAAATTAATTTTTAAAGTAGCTACAGTATCATCTTCTTCGTTGGATCCAAAAGCTTGATAAAAGTGACTACATTATCATCTTCTTCAACCATATACCACTTGGTCTTTTAAACACCAATGAGATTTCTCAACAGTTTTCCACACGAAGTACTGATCAATTCACCACCAAATTCGCTGTAAGAACCCTAACCAAAAGATCAATCACACCCAATATGATCAAAACACCCCTCTACGAAACAAAACCCAGAAAATAAAAAAAACACAGATTTCTTAGATTCTTCTTAAATCCCATCTCAGAATCAAGAAACCCAACAAGGATGCTAACCATATCACTAATCTCGAGCTTATAAAAAAATAATTTGATTCCTTTTAAAAACTGAAATCGTTCAAGAGCTACATAGATCGAGAGTTATTGTTATGGGAAGAAAGCAATTTCAAGCTTATAAAAACTGAGACTTGATACAGTAAATTTCAAATTTCAATTAGATACCGCACATCGGGAGCTATCATCAAAATTCCCAGCCATGACATCTAAATCAATTTTGCATCAGAAATTTCTCACTGTATGCATTAGGAAAGGTTCACAAGAGAGAGATTAGAATGAGTAAGATTAAGCAAGAGAAAGATGGATCGAATCCAGAACTGAGATTCTCTAAAACAGCAAGACTAGAGTAAAGCTCTTCGAGCTTGGTTCTTATGAGTTGCAAGGTCGTGGTCTTTACTCCGGAGTCTACCACGGTCGGAGGTGTTTAATTTTACGATTAGATGGGTTTAGTTTAGAAATTGGGTTGAAAGAAGGTTTAGTCCGGTTAATAAAAAATTTTAGTTGGTTAAAGAAATATTAAACCAACAGCAAACCTCATCAACTTCGATTTATGGGGCAATAGATGGTATCAGATACTTTGAGGAGGAAATAGCAATAAAACTTTAGATTCGGATGGAAATCGGTTTAGAACTATCGACTCGGTGAGACATGAAACGAGGTTGAAGTTCTGTGTAGATTTGATACGATGCCATAGTTTCCGGGGAGAAATAGTACGGCAATCCAATTAATTTTTATCATGGTGCGTAAATAGTTCATTTCCGAGTTTCTTCATTCAACATGTGATGGCTTTATCTTTCAGTGTTTTAAGTAATTAATTTGGACATTAAAATTAGTTTAGTGTTGAAAATTTAATGAAATGTCAATATGTCCGAGTGGTTAAGGAGACAGACTCGAAATCTGTTGGGCTTTGCCTGCGCAGGTTCGAATCCTGCTGTTGACGTTCATGTTTTGTTTTTTAAGTTACCATTCTACTACAGTATTTGGCTTTTGGAGATACACACGTTTATTTATGTCTGCAACGGGTATGATCATGACCTACGTGAGTGACAAGTACAATGGTACATGATCTTCAAATCCAGGGCTAGTTAGTGCTTTTATGTTTCCATTCTACTATCCCTGGTTAATTAAGTTAACTGTTTATTAATTGTTAAAGAAGTGCTTCGATTTTGAAATATCTGTATATATATATTGGTTATATATACGTAATTACCAAGAGAATTAATGCTAGGGTTGGTCTCTAGTCCTTTTCAAATTTGACTTGTATAATTAAGAGACCACCCACTATTATTTGTTGGTATTGCTATTTCCAAGATAAATATGGATCTTGAGCTTATAACACTATTCCACTAATCTCTTCTTTGTCATGGAAATTGAAAAAAGTAGTCCACATTTCAGTGCCTACCAAAATGTATTTACTAAATCAAAAACAATTGAAGGGGTGCTTAAATTATTTATGTGCGTGGTTGAATTTTGTAAAGAAGAAAGATGAAATAAAGTGAAAGTTAAGAAGATGATCATCATTCGTCATTCTGAAAGCTTTTAAAAGAAAGCACCTGAAGATTTATGACTTTTCAGAGAAAATCACGACTCACGTGAGACCCGAGACTTTCGTACGTCCACACATCGCAATTATACACTTTCTTTCATACTCATCTCTATATGCAATCACGGCGAAATATAATATAAATGCTCATTGTAAATATAATAACACTGTTTAAATTAAGATATAGCTTAATTACTTATAATCTCGTCTTTCCATCTCTATAAAATTGCAATCAACACCTCAAATAGTTAATCACACAAATATAATTCATAAGTACGATTTTTGGAAAGTAAATAACTAACTCATGATGTTCATTAAGAGATTACGATACCATTTTTTTTTAAGATTTAGCATATCTGGATTTTTCTCGACTATACCCTAGTTTCAGCTGCAACAACCAAAGCAGCACCACTACTTCCTCCGGCGTCGTCGTTTCCATCGCCGGCGGTTGGAGTCGCCGTGGCTGTATGAGCCCTTTTCCGTTTCTTCTTGTCGTAAGGAATCCCTCGAGCCTTAGCCTGAGTTTGACGAACTTCTTTAAGATAGATCCTAACAGCCTTGGCAGCGAAAGGGTTTGACTCGGGAAGACCACCGCCAATTTCCTCGAAAGCAGCCCTGAGACGGCCGATGAGAGCGTCGAGGCTTCCCCAAGCTTGCTTGAGAGGGCAAGTGCACTGAGCGGGTGGGTTAGGTTGTCCGAAGAAGGGACAAGAAACAGCGTGGACTTTGGTCTTACCGAACTGGTCAAGGTACTTAAGGAACTCGAGGACGTGCGCGCCACTGCAACGAGACAGATTCAGAGGTGGCTTGTGGTTCCTTAGATACTGAAGGAAAGTGTTCCAGTCTCGCCTCTTCTGAGACTCGTACCGGCTTGGGGATGAGGAGGAACTCGCAGCTGTCTTTACTGTGGCTTCACCCTCCATCTTGTTTCTAGAGTTCTTTATGTGTGTGTGTGTGTGTGGGTCGTGTGCCTGAGACTGAGAGCGAGAAAGAGAGGAAGGAAGAGTTTTATGTTAAGTCACACACAACTAAGTCAGAAAGCAACAAGTTGGATTTGATTATTCACATTGTAGTTTTTCTCACTTTTATTGACGTCCCATCATCATATTTCTTTATATGGGAACCAAAAGAAATTGGAAAAATTAGATGTATCTAATTTTTGTTGCCCATTCTGTATTATCTTTTTCACTTTGTGTGTAAATTGGTTAAAGAAATATATCATACCTTCCATTCACACACTTTGATTTCTTATTGTTTTTGTATTTTTCTTTCTTTCTATGAGTCATCTTGTTAAGTAAAAGAATCACATCTACTTTAACCTAGGATCAATAAAACAAATGAATAAAGGACAAAGAAGAAACAAAAAATGAATATGATAATAAAACCATATAATCCGCTAACTAGTGACTGACTTCGCTACTTGCAACTATTCAAACTCTACTAATAATAGCAATTTACAATATTATATAGTAGAATTTTTGTATAATGGATGTATGTTTAGGATTTGTTAAAATTATCGTTTGAAGTACATGTGTTGTATTAGTAACTACGTACATATATATATGTTAAGTATACATTAATCTTGATTGGGATTTAGATCGCACCTTTATATCATTTACATTAAGCTGATCAACGGGAAACGAGTTTCATCATTTACATTAATTAGACAAATGATTTCCGAAATTTAAATATCTAATGTTTAACATATACTGTAAACATGGCGTTAAGCCATTAAAGGACATCTTTTTCAAGAACTTTAATACTATATATAATACTAAGTTTAACGGAAGTCAAGTTCACGACGTTAAGGTGACGACTACCATTCAAAAGCTCCATCCATATACCTCCCGTGATTCATTTGATTTAATCATTCATACACAAACTTTATAATTTCTTGTTGATACATCAAATCATAGCAAATGGGATCGTCCGTCCAATACTTAATTCCCAATTATAGGAAATATAACTTTGTCCATTTCAGTATGCTTTCCATTGGAAACTAGCTAGTTAATTTCCTTTACCATGCATATGTGTGATCAACTCATCATCCAAGTTTTTTTTTTTTGGTTATAGTTCGCTGAATCGCTGATTAAATAATAGCTGTAAGCACTAATGATTATAATTAAACGACTAAATCGTGCATGCTGCTTAATTAGTAGCTTCATTGACGGCACATATAATTTCTTGTTTATCTTTTTTCTTATTTATTTATAGAATGTATCGTTTTGGTTATGTCTTAATCGAAAAATTAACACTTTCGTTCACACTAGTTACATAGACCACCAACTCCTATTGGGAGAGACTCAAAAGTCAGAATGTATTATTTACCAGTCCTTTTTTTTTGGTAATATCAGTCTTTCAAGTTTCAACTAGTCGTTATATATAATTGTTAGGATAGGAAAACGTGGAAATAACGTTGTACAAGGCCAATAATTTGAGGGAATCATGGAATGATTTGGTTCATAACAAGGACTTATTACGATGGAACTGACAAAGTAGAAAACGAAAAAAAAAAAAAAAAAGAGAGAGAAAGAGAAAATGGTGAGTGAGGAGTTGGTAGTGGGTCAAGAATCAATGAAGATCGAAAGGTATTGGCCATTCAATTCATTTTCTTCTAATAATCTTAATGCAATTTTCATCACTTCACTGAGTCACTCGCCATTTTACTACTACTACTACTTAACATTCATCATGTAATGCTTTTTAGTGCTTTTTCGAGTCTCATACCTATACGACGGTTTCACGCCTTTTTCACTTTAGTCCCTCACTCGCACCATATTATTATATATGTCACTATCTCATATATATTTTTAGTTGGAGAAATTAAGATGAAGAGAAGAGTTAATGATTAGTATTTAATCAGGATCATGTCAAACATGGCAACTATTTAATCAAAGTATGTATCACTCAAACTCTATACAACAGACGTAATACAATTTGTTTGCATAGTTTACTAAAATATAGGACCCTTATCTTCTTTTTTTCTTTTGCACTAAACATATTTTAAGACCCACTAAATCTAATGCGTCTAGAAATATTGCATCAAATGATTACACTTTATAAACGCGAAAGTAACACAGCTAACTAATCTTCTTTTTTCTCGTTAGACCAAAGAAAAAACAAAAACTTCTTTCTCTTTATAAAATTTGATCCCTTGTTTCGTCTTAAACATGAGGTTGGAAGTGAGGAGAGAGATCTCATTGCATGTACACCACCTCGACTCGTACTAGTCTATACATTTGAATCTTTATAGATAATTCAACAGTACACCAAAATAAATAAAAAACAAAACTTTTACGTGAAATTTGTTCAAGCAGGACTTCATTTACTAATTTCTATTAGAGAACAAATGTGTCGTATGATTGTATCGTAAGGTTAAATATATAAAGAAAAAGAATCAATCACAAGAAGTAATAGAGAGCCCAACCCGGAGATCGTTAGATGTTCCAGACACGTACATTCGATGTGTCTCGATTTCTTCTCCCTTCCCGTGACTGGTGGCCGCCACGTCCGCAGCTGCCGCGTAATGGATGCCGTTGTTGACATCGTCTCCCGTGGAGAATATGATCTCCCTGAGAATGGGTTCATGTCCGTTTAGAAGATTCCCCATACTCAGCACCTTTCTCCATGATTGGTTCGCCGATGGCGGCGCAAACAGGTTCGACACCACTTGTCTCTCTCTCAAACTCACTTCTTGTCTACTTACTTCCATTTCCTGTGTTCCAGTTACCAGAGACTGTTACGTTATTACATTCCAATCAGATAAATTCTTGCTGGTTTAACAATGACTCACCGTTCTGCTTTTAGTCTCCTCGTCATTTGAGTTCATCCCCATTGTTGGAGCATAAATGGTGTAGAAGTCGCTGAATATTACTTGAGCAAGTCGTGATGCGTCAAGGAACTTTCTGTGAATAGATGCCGCGACCGTTACCAACTTCTCCACGTTTTCAAAAGCCATGCAGAGACGTTTCAGGTCTTTGACGGTTTTTGCTTTATCTGGAAGATTGTTGCCTGCATCCGAATATCTGTTATATAGAGACAAGAAGGCCGGAAGGAGAAGATGGTTTCCAGGGTTTGAATAATTAAGAAGAAACAAAAGTATTACGTTGTAGAGCCCCCAAAGTAGATTTCATGATGAGGTAGAGTTGCTCCAATTTAGAGGTCATTTGTTTCATGTTCCCAAAGTTTGTCTGGTTAAGAGTGTCGGCTGATCCTCTGAAGGCTGTGCAGACCATTTGCTCAAGAAGCTGATTAGGTCGCACTGTTTCCAGGTAATGAACAATCTGAGAAATTTGTCAAGATATTGAGGTCAAACTTAACTCTTGCAAGAGTTTATTGGCATGAATGATCTCACAAAGACACAGACCTTCTCTCCCTCTCGGTTCGGGTCTAGGAGAGGCTTTTGATCATCGGCTGGCAAAGCGGGTGCATCGTACCAACTTTTTCTCCATAAGTTTCCTTGATCAGACATCCGTTGAGAAAGGCGACCACTAGGAGGCCATATATCTTTCGAGCCTTCGGTGATGGGGCCTGCTGATGTTTCATTGGTTTTAGGTTCAAAGCTTTCCCAATCTCCAGGTGAATGCCATCTGATAAAGTCCTCAAACACTGCATCTGGGTTTGCCGCTTTGAATGCTGACATATCTGCAATATCATCTTTGTAAAATCAGGAACAGAAGCAAGGAATATATCACAAAACTATAAGCGCCTATTCTTCTCTGGCAATAGACTAAAACTTAGAGAAAGTGAAACAAACAGTTCTTCTCCGTTATGATCAACAGAGACAGAGTTTCAAACCTCACCAGATAATAAGATGTCTTTCTCCAGCTGGCCAGGAACGTTCTGAAATTCAAAGGGCAAAGATGAGTTGTTCAATAAACAAACAACAAAATAAACTAGATAAAAAGCGATCAATCATGTTAAATTTTCTTTAATATTTATATACAGCACAAGAGCATATAGAAAATTTCCATATATAGCGAGTCGAGGCATCTACAACTTTGTTAAGAAAATTTACAGTCTACCGAAACATTCTTAGTAGATACCCAAATCATATTCACTTCTACTGGGAAAGGAGTTGAACTTACAAGGGAATCACCAAACGCCTCAACAGCTTGGAGTCTTTCTTCATGCATGTCTTCAGTCATAAGAGGTGGATCCTGTCATAACTCAAGAAATATGAGATTGCTACCAAAAAGATAGGAAAAAGCCGAGGTCCAGTAGAATACTAACTTGGGTAAATGGGGCATGGAGCCGCTGATGTGACTTCAGGAGCATCATGGTCCCCACTGGTCCAGCTGAGCCCCTCCTGATGGCATCTGTTGGGCTTTGGTTCACAGAATTTGTGCGTTCAGTTTTCCTCTCAAATCTGAGTCGATTAGAAGTATCTTCTGCAATTGAACTGTATTCAAGGAAAACGGATTTAAACACCCTTAGTCATCATTTAAATTGGAAAATGAAAGGAAGTCGAAAGAGCACAAGTACTTGAAATAGTAGACAATTAGTGTTTCAACTATTTGATAACAACGAGAACCTAAGAGCTCTCACTTGCTAAGTTCACCTGTCACGTTTCCTCTGCAGATCTGCTTCTGAGGATGTATTTCTTCTCTTGTCGACCTTGTGGTGTTCCTGAGAATTCATTCAAAGATATGTTTCAAGCCAACAACACAGGCGCTGCAGGAGTTAGGATATTCTACTAGGTATAGTGAAGGCTTTTGGAACTCCTACACTATATGTACTTCCTTTAGTTAATTTAATGAAACACATACTGACAAAACATAACAACAAATGCACAAAATACAGGAAAACCTAGCCAATCACCTCCACAGAAACAGAAGCATCTGAACTGTCGTCACTTCCTATGCAGTCTAGGAACTCTTCATTCATTTCACGTTTTTTTTCAATGCAGATTGCAAGCTGATCAACAAAGAAGAAATTATTAGTATTCTAACAGTAATTTGACATTTACGATTAAAGATATATAGAGAATTACCAGGTGCAACTTCTGGTTGATCAAACAAGTAGACAAGTCAATAGAACCGTCGAATGGCATTTTCGGCAACGGCTGTGTCTCTTCCCAACACCATCGAACTTCACGGACAAACTCTATCCAGAGGAAGGCAATGGCTAGAGATGGAGTGTAGAAAAAAAAAAAATACAACACACCTTATTAAACAGATAACTCCTTTCATTCCATCTCTGGTAACCAAATGTGGCACGGTCTACTGGCACATACCACGGATATTGCAGTTGCCAAACCACAGTGAGTGCAAACAGAATTGTGTAAAAAGAGATTCAAGCGGTGCAGCCTTGAGAGCTCGAGAAAACCTGTGTTCGCCTTTTGTAAAATCTGGGAGTTTAGATCCTGCGAGATAAGATTGAAAAAGGTGAAACAATACCGCATAGCTGGATTCTAACAAACGTTTAATATATATATATATATATAAACCGTATACATAGGAGTGTATACATGCATCTATGTTCACACAAAATATAGTGGAAGTATACCCTCACGAAAGAGATCTTTAATCACCCGATCAAGGACAGACGGAGGAGGTATGACCACTGCGGTCTTTAAATTGTCAGAGCTTGGATTTTCCACTGCAAGAGATTTATAAAAACATTAGACAGTGGATATGTAAGGGAAAGCTAATGCTGTTAAAGATTCTATGAACAGAAGGGAAATGCTCGTATGCTATAACTCAATCCCTTTCTAGTGAAAATTTCTACATGTGTTTAAAACACGAGGAAACAGTAAAAGCACACAAAATATTGGCATACCTGACACGAAATCCTCCATAAACTGAGCTGTGAAGGACATATCCAGTGCTTCAACTAAGCAAAGTAGTTGGGAAGCAAAATCAATTCTTTTCCCATGTGAAGGATCACCCCTGGTAAAGCAATGTTTGTTATAAAACTGAAAGGGAATTATCATACACCACAGGACCAAGAAAATTAGTTGGAAAGAAAAATCAATTCTTTTCCCATGTGAAGGATCACCCCTGGTAAAACAATATTTGTCATAAACTAAAAGGGAAAAATAATACACCACAAGACATGCAAACTAATATTCTGAGGAACATTTCTTACAGATATGGTGAAAGGATTGGGTGTATAATCCACTTCTCAGCATCATGGGGTGAAGCATTTTCAAGTTCAGCCATCTCAAGGGTGCTTTCTACAGTCCTGTCAGCCCATGTGACCACCAATTCGAATCCTGTCCATATCATCAGCCACAAAATTAGATAATGAAATCCTTGAATCGCATATACCAACAGCAGAGACCGGCCTATGCTTGAAGACTGATACAGAATGTCATCAACACATCGATTATCATATTTGCGTATGTTGGAATACAGAGGTATATACCCTAGTTAATAAATTAGATAACTGAGTAGTATAATCACGGGAAAACACACATGGCCTCAACAAAAATTTAAGACAAGTGCCGTTTTGTATAGACTGTAGTCCGAAAAGATTAGATTTTATTCATATGATACATGGATATACCTCTAAGTGGATCTTCAGCAGAGTACCACTCACTCCAAGGGCAGTCATCGTCCCAGAGCACCTTGTTGCGTGAATCAGAGCCATAGTTTTCCGCAGTGTCTGCTTTGTCACCCATAAGCTCATCCATATCATTTTCGTCATCCTCCTCGTCATATGGGAAGGTTTGGTATGTTAGCCTCATCATAAAGTGGACTCTGAAGTTATGCATTGAGAAGTCCACTCCTGAATAAACCTTCAAATAATAAACCGTTGTCGATAAATATAATATCTAGCAAAACAATTTAATCACGTGATAGAATAAGCCACGTTTGACCGGAGCTCAAATTAAAATTAAAAATCGTCTCCTCTACTAATATCAAGCTTGAAGCATGTTGGATAAAGTACATACTGCAATATAGTAGATTGGAAACCAGCTTTCATCATTGATGGCTAATGCTTGGTAATTCTTCAGGTTTGTTTTGATAAGAAATTACTGTAGTAGTGTTATCACTAATTAGGAGCTACAAAGACTTACAAACTTAGAAACAAACAACTCATATAGCCCTTCCAGGTGCATGAGTTTCACAGGGACTTGGCTGCCAATACGATCTGCTTCAAACCTTCTAGTAAAAACAGTGCCCATATTCTGGATTCCAATATGTGCTTTGCGTGAAGGGTCGTGCACAGGGACAAAGGCTGGCCACAAGCTACATGAAAGTAGTATAAAGACCATTAAATATGCGTCTAATCATCAAATCCTTAACAAAGACCTCAAGGATAATTTACATTTCTATCAACTTTGATTTCCAAGACTCCAGAGTAATTTGGTATGCGATTTGGTATCAATTCAAAAAAAACAATGTATATAGTACAAGTTCAGTTGACGATGCTAAAGCTAAAAATGGCTAAGACATCACACCTGCCACAGTTAGACAAAGCAATAGCAACTGCACTCAGAAGCTTGCTCGACTCTGGTGTATCAAGCAGCACCCCACTGGCACTTTGTGGAGCAATCAGCTAAAGATGCGAGAGAATTAGTAAAATATGCAAGAGAATTAGTAAAATATCGAATATGTGGAAGGGCAGGAATTATTTCAACAACAAAATGTGGATTTAAAGCGCACCAGAAAATCCTTAACCCCAAAGCAAAGCTGGAGATCATGTGAATTACTGTTCCAATTATCAATTCCAGCTGCATCAGTCAGATACTGAATTATGAAACAGAAAATGCAGTTTCTCCAAGATAAACCGCATTATTTTGGAATCATATACCTTGTTGGCTACCATTATTATCAATTTGAAAGTAGAACTCCATGCAATAGTTCTTTGAGACATTTTTCAGTTCGTGTTTGACCGTAAACAGATTCTTTGAATCCTCTACTGCAACGGCTCCTTTTTCCTGCATTCACATAATGCAGACAACCTACCAGGTCAAGCAGATAACCAAACCAAACTGGATTCCATAATATATGTCCAGTTGCATCTTTGATCATCAAAATGCAAAATAGTAAAACAAGTTATCAGGTCCGGCTATATGAAAACTGGGAGAGTATGCATTCGCGGGACTCTAACAAGCTCAACAAGCAATCATTTGGAAAAGCAATCTTACCACCAGGTTATTGGGACCATCGGCTAACCATTGACGACAAGTTGCTTCAATGTCTGAAATGAACCTAAAGAGCAACAGAATCAGTGATGGGATTGGAAAAAACAACAGAAAAGAACAATGCAGCAGTAATTGAGTCCAAGCAATTCAAACCATGAAGATTGAATACCTTTCCCATGAAGAAGCTAGAGTAAAATCATCGAAATGTTGCACCTGTAAAACAATCACTGATCCATGAATACAAAACGGACAGCAGAAGAGCACACGAAGAAGATGCTATAAGTGGTAGTAACTGGCATACCTCTTCTTCCACATCATCATCTTCTTCAAGAGGATTCAATTTGCTTGTAGAAGCCATATAAATTAGGCAGCGAATCTCTCTCTCTCTCTCTGTTCTTCTGGGTAAGGAACTCTTGCAGATCCTCCGATCACGCAGACGAAGAGATCCGGCTTCGGGTAAGAACAACGATGATGATGGTAAAGTTACAGATGAAACGTCGTCGTTCAAGGCTGACTTTGGGACTTTTTGCAAACACGGCAAGAGAACAACGCGTGCCGTTTTAGTTTGATAAAAAACGTTGCAAAGTTTTTCACTGATCCCGACGATCACAAAAAGGCCGCTATCAATGGGCCTCATATTAGCCCATTATAACATCTTTGCTCAAGGAGTCCACATAATTCAAACCCGAATTTTCAAAAGGATTAAAAACAAAAATCAAGAGACTAGTAGATACTAATCTTTTTGTAGTCATCCTAAATTCTAATAATCGGAATAATTATTCAAAAAATTTCGAATACAGTATATGCATTTTGTTTGTATGGATTGGTGATCATTTAAAACTAAACACAATTATGTATGAAGGGACCACAATCCACAACTAAGAGATAATTATCTAAAATAATAAAATTGGTCCAAGACATAATAACAATTACAAAAAACAATTAATATAGTTGACAAAAAAAAAAAAAGTAATATAATAAAGTAAAAAAGAACAGGAGCGTAGTGGATCGAGAGAGGAGAGTGTGAAAAATCGTACTGCTTTACATAAATGAGGTCGTCCTCACTAAAGCTAACAAAGATGTAGAAATCCCTGAAAATCTGAAAGCCACACTTCCGTTTTCATCTCTCCACAGAGCTCATAGTTCATTGCCGACTAAGACGTCCTACTACAAATAATGGCTGCAGCCTTGGAGTGCTGGTCGAGCCGTGCCGGAGGTGGTGGCGGTCCCGACGACGATCTGGTCGATCAGGTACTCATGCGCACGCACGACAGGTCCGAGTCGCTCCTTACGTCTCCCCCTGAGACTACTTTGGAGAACAAAGGAGGATCCACGACGGTTTTCGATCAGAGCTCATCGGCTATGCAGAAGCGGTTTCAGCGTCTCACCCGAAATGTGTCGGGGGCGATTGCGTCGCTTAAAAACTCGCTCAATCTCGATAACGCGCGGGATAACCACAACGTCGGTGAAGCTCCTTCGCCTAAGGCCGAAGTTGGCGGCGGAAGGAAGCTCGTCTGGGCTACTGTAGTGAGGAACCTTGCTAAGATGTATCCTGGCAGTCAGTTACCGGAGAAGCTCGTATCAAATCTCAAGAAGCATTACGATTCCTTGCCCTTCAGGTACACCTGAATTTCTAATTAGGGACAGTTTTGTGTGAGTTTGAATCTGGATATTCTTGGTAAACTATGGACCAATCTAGGTAACTTGGTTTTGTGCTTGTTTCAACAGTTACAGTCAGGCTGATTTCGATATGAAAGAAGTATTTCTGCACGTGAAGTTGATAGAGCAAGCTTCTGGAGATGACAATCCTGTGTTTATGATTCAACAAGTGCCTGCTGAGGAACCTCGGGGTTCAGTCCTCAGACTCACGTTCGCCTGCAACTCTTCTCTTTCATGGTCTACTATGTCAGGCGCTCTTGATGGTGCTTCCATTTGTTGCAAGAAGATACAAATCTTTGAGAAGAAAGGGTTGACTCTCGGTGTTGTTCTTCTTCTGGATCAATCTGGGCATGAGAGCTTGTTTAAAAACCGGGTAGAAAACGCCCTCAAGGTTGCAACCAGAAAGCCAAAACCGACTTCGGTTAAGCTCCCTTTTGGGCTTTGTGGCTGTCAAGAACAGAACGGCGGTGTAGGAGAACTTGGGGGTGTTGAAGAAGAGTCCATTCAGCATAGTAATAGGCTAGGGATAGAAAACTCTAATAGTATGATCCAGCTTCACACTCCACTTCCGAGTTCTTCATTCGCAGTATCAGTAGATGAATGGCAGACCATCCAATCAGGTGGCAATGAGATTGGAAAGTGGCTATTAAATTCTGATAGTTTTGAGTTCGGTGATCAGGTTGGACCACATTCTTTCAAAGGAATTTTCCGCGGAAAAAGAGTGGGAATCGAGAAACTAAAAGGTTGTGACAAGGGGAATTCATATGAGTTTGAGCTCCGAAAAGATTTCTTGGAGCTTATGGCTTGTGGACACAAGAGTATTCTGCAGTTTTATGGCGTTTGCATCGATGAGAACCATGGATTATGCATTGTGACAAAGCTGATGGAAGGTGGGTCACTCCATGAACTGTTGTTGAAGAATAAGAAGCTTCAAACCAAGCAGATACTGCGAATAGCTGTAGACATAGCCGAAGGGCTGAAGTTCGTGAATGATCATGGTGTTGCTTATCAGGATCTTAACACTCAAAGAATACTACTAGATAAACATGGCAACGCCTGTTTAGGGGATATTGGAGTAGTCACCGCTTGTAAGAGCTATGGTGAGGCTGTGGAGTACGAGACTGATGGCTATCGATGGCTTGCACCTGAGGTATGTCATATCTGTTCTTTTACGCTTGGTTTTTACTTGAGAATTAGAATTTGTAAGCATTACCATGCTTACCGTTCCGTGATCCTTTTTTTTTTACCTCTATGCCAAATGATACATAAAACTAGACACCTGAAAGCTTGCTCATAATTAAATTTCTCTACCCCATTATCATAACTCTCATAGAAACAAATCGCAGGCCCTATGTTCTTCATCTCTACTGTCCCCATACGACCCACTGCATCTTGTATTGTTTTGTTCTTATTGAACAAAACAAGTTCCTTTGATTTTGGCCATATCTGCTTTACCTTTTGTGTTTGTCTGGACAGTTATTGGATGTCACTTTTGGATTCATATATCGCGTAGAAAGTAGGTACAATTAGGTTCTGTCTAATCTTCAAAAAAGCTCCTTACGCATTATATAAGTTATTCCACTTGTTTCGAACCACCGTATTAGGCTTTTTTTTAGCTTTGTCAAGCGATGTGCAATTGCAAATGGTCCACTCATTCCTACTAGAGCTAACTGGTTCTTCGTTTGGCATAGCATTTACTTTCTTGGATCTGAACACGAAGTTACTAGATATTTGTATTGAAACCTAAATTCTTTATGACCTGGTTGAAAGCAGATCATAGCTGGTGATCCCGAAAATACAACAGAGACTTGGATGAGCAATGCATATAGTTTTGGAATGGTACTGTGGGAGATGGTGACGGGAGAGGCGGCTTATGCATCTTGCTCGCCTGTGCAGGCGGCGGTTGGGATTGCGGCCTGTGGTCTAAGACCGGATATCCCAAAGGAATGCCCTCAAGCCTTAAAAACTCTGATGATCAATTGCTGGAACAACGCCCCCTCCAAACGCCCAAACTTCTCTCATATCCATAACATGTTGCTCCGCGCCATTTGACGCTAAGTTTTTTTTTTTTTTTTGAGTAAGGGATAATTTGTAAATTCAGATTGTAACACTAAAAATCGTAATTATATAGTATCTGTAATGATCATAATGGTGATATGAAATGTGCTGGAAACATAAAGGGGGG